ATCGTTTTCGACATAATAGATAATGCCAAAAAACAACCTTTTTAAAAATTCGTATCACAAGCGTGTTTCAATGTTTGAGACATACCCATAATCCGGTATATATATAGGTATACATTAAGGTATCAACCCCGTAGTTCCAACACAACTTTATCGTAACTAAATAAAAATAATATGTTCATTTGCAATAATATTCTCACACACAATTACGATCCTGGTCATTAATGCGATGGTTATACCTACGAGCGATTCGTAGGTTTGTACATTTTGGTTTCGTAGTTCACTCAATATCTTCTTTCGCGCGCATTTAACGAATTGTGTCGTAATAAACCCGCGGGAAATATTGGTACACCGGATCGATGTACATAATATAATGTTCTTAATCACACTGCTTTATGATACATCAATGTTCGACTGATATACATATAGGCAAGTAATAATTTTCCGTTTGATTTATACTGTCATGAGGGGATAGGCGTTGGTAATATATTTTTGTACAAAATAATAGTGTTATTATTATTATTATAATACTGCAGCACCCGAAGATATATGAGCCGATGAAATTCAATATATTTGATACCACTTCGTCTGCGCGTATTATAATATAATGATTGTCCTCTAAATATCAGCGGCTCCTGACTTTATCGAAGCCGTTATTCCCTGTGTAGTAATGTCCGCAAGGTTTTTAATGAATCTTTTGTAATGTTACCGGGACGCCACATGGACATGGGTAATTGGTGTGTACCTCTTACAAAAGTACAACATATGGCAAGTTTTACGTTTACAGTAATACATTTTGCTTTCCTAAAATGAGAGTGAATTTACCTCGTATAAAATTTAAAGGCAAGAATATTATTTAGTGATATTATTAATGTCATTATTTTCAAGTAAGTTTTTTTTACATTTTAAAATTATCATAACTTACTTAAAAATAATATCAATGGAGTTGGTGGCTACCACAAGTTGAGAATCGCTGCTCTCCTGTATAGGATCTAAGACATAATAATCAGTGCCAAAGCCAAGACAAATGGATAAGTGGGTGTTGAGGGAGGGGTGGTTCTCAAATTATACTTGAGGTGTCTCAGCAGACGGCGTCCGGCAGCTATACTATATTAATGTTATTATGCAAAAATAAAATCGATTGGAAGGGGATACTTATAGCCTATAAGTACCCAACAGCCCCCCCCCCCCTCGCCACTAATTCACTGATCATAACTGATGGTCATTGGTCAGTTTATTTATGGTGTATAATATATAAAACATTGCTATTATTATTTTTCATTGCAATATTCTGTCAATGTCAAATATTTTTACTAGATGTTCAGTCTAGTCGTAGTCCGTAGATATGATAATATACATAATGTATAGTAATTGTATTTATTAAACACATTATATATTTAAATTTATAGAGTTTAATGAACGAATAGTGGACATGAAATACTGTCTAGTCTATGTATAGTATATAAAATGAAAAAAAAATACTGAAAGCGTGCAGGGAATTTATTAAGATATAATTTAAACAAGTATTGTTGGCTAATCGCTAATGTACCAATGTGACTAAACGAGTATATGTATAAACGACTCAATCGTTGTTAGAATAAAATAATATAATATTTAGTATTTCCTAATAGATACTGACTATATAGTGTCACTAAAATACGTGTACAGTCGATTGCCTAATATTGTCAAAGTTTCGATCGTTAAATTTTTAACACTCCTCCGCATTCGACTGTGAGCGCATTGCAACTAAAAACAGCGTTTATTTTACATCACAAAAATGAGCAATTGTTTCGACTGGAATTTATATACATTTTCCATTTAATCACTTTTATCAAACCTATAAAACCCTTGTCGATAACCGAGATAAATCACTCAAAACGCAATACTAAGTTCAGTATGTTTAAAGTGGTTTTTTTTCATAATACTATACTACGAGTATTGCTCATTATTTCGATGACTATTAACTTGAATCGAATTTATTGTTTTGAAAATATTGAAGACACAATAATGTGTATTTAATATTTGGGAATATAACAAAAAATATAAAAACGAAGTTTTCATAAATTAGACTGGTCTTGTTTAAATAATGAATGTCATGTAAATGAATCACTATAATATTTGAATCCGATTCCAAGTGAAGAAGTTGAGAACTATTTGAATCTTTTGCAAAATGAGTGTTCTCGTTATGAATATCGAATGACAAATTGACAAATTATATTATAAAAAATTCGTCTAAATGATCATCTTTACCTCTTTCTCTATTATTTAATAAGGCTATTGACTGTGGGTTTTTTCCTGATTGTTTTAAAAATTCATTATTATTGCTCTATTCAAATCAGGCGATATTGCGATAAGACAGTTTGTGCTAATGCCTATAGGCCAATTTCACTTTCATTATCTGTTAGTAAAATTTTTGAAAAATGGTTAAAGGAACGTTTGTATGACTTTTTAATAAAAAACAATTTTTTTGGAAAAATCAGTACGGTTTTCAGTCAGGTAAATCAACAGTCGATACTCTATAGTTCAGGCAGATAATTACACTAGAGGCGATTTAGATAATAAATATAAAGTTATGGTCATCTTTATCGATCTAAATGAAGCGTTTGATATGCTGGTGTTGGGGGAAAAGCATTTTATCTATTCCCATAATTTTTAGTTGGAAGATATCAAGCTGTAAGAGTGGAAAACAATTTGTGTAATTTTTTACCTTTTAACTATGGCGTCCCACAGGGTACGATACTTGGACCGCTATTTTTTATAATCTATACAGATAGATTATTTGGTTTAAATTTAAACGATAAAATTATTAGTTTGCTGTAGATACTTAAAATTAAGTTAGTGATATATCGAATATTTTACTTAATAAATTAGCTATACCCACCTTGGAGAAAATTGACAGCTAGCTCGAAAATAATTTAATGGAACTAACTATTGAAAAATCAAAGTATATGTATTTTGAAATTTATAATAATAAATGCTTAATACACATGCAGTCCTTTAGTTATTCACTACTTAAATTGTAATAGGTCTTTAGTTTCCTGTAAATTTGATAAGCTTGAATATGTTGATTCACATAAATACCTTGAGGTCATTTTCGATAGAAATTTGAGGTGGACTCTTCATATAAATCATGTAGTTAGTATGGTAGTTGTTTTATAAATTTAAAATGTTAAAAGATATCCTAAACACAAGACCTTATGTGCAGTTTATTCACCGCTTGTACAATCAAATTATTAGGTATGGTATTGTTATTTGGGGAAATGTATCTAAGTTTGCCTTGAATCTACTTATTATAACTTTAACCTTACTATTGCGATTTATTCAAAAAAAATCATATGATTTTCATGTAAATGATAACTACAGTACTTTTAATGTAAGAAACTTGAATGGATTATATGTATGGAATATCCTTAATCATATTTATAAGTTATAATGTAGATTCAAAATATTTCTCCCCATCACGTAACTACCAAACACGTTTAAAAACGTCTGTAAATCTGAATATACTAGTAACCAATAAAGAATTTGGCAGGAAAGTCGTTTTATTATTAATGTAAGTATTCATCTTTGTATTATGCTTTATATTAATTTAACATTGTACAGAAATAAGTATTATTATAAAAAATTATTTAAAAAATCTAAATCTAAATCATATGAAGTTATGATTGCACAAAAAATTTAAAATTGTAATTTATTTTCTAATGTTTAATCTATTATCATTGTATTGTAATTTATTATGTTAAATTGTGTTGTGTTGAACTTTGCTACACCCACCACAATCTATGCTTTTGGGGCCACGTCGTCAGCTGTACCTACTACTGTCTACTACTCGTTTTTCTTGTGTCTTCATATAAACATATATTTTGACAATCAACAATATATTATTATAATTATTTAATATTGACCTTGAATAAATAAATTGACCTGCTATATTTTTTGTGTCCTACAAATTACAATAGGTATAAATGTCTTATTCTGAATTGTGGCCCGAGATTTTTTGTAGTAGGTACATATTAATAATTGTGTCCTAGGTTTTTTAAACGTACATACAAATTGTGGGTCAGGGTTTTATTGGTGCATACTAATTAAAATATAAAATAATATATTATTTGACATTTTTTTTTACAAATTCCAACTTGCAAATGTAGTTTTATTATAATTGTACATTGCAATACTATTGTAATTTATTGAATGTTTCTACTTTTTTTTTGTTCTGATATTTCTTAAGTGAGTACTTTTTATTTTATTATAGATAGGTACCTAGATATCTTATAATTGAATAATTTTCAAAACATCGTTTAATGTAAAAAAATTTTTGTGTACCTATTGTACAACATGAAATTGCATTTTAAACGAAAGTCCACACTGATTCTCAAAGTCACATCGGTTAGTGGTTCGCACTGTAGTTATGATTATACGGTTAAACGGGCAACAATAATAGTATTATAGGTATGAATATTTGATTTTTGAACTGCAACCCCACTTTTTGATTTTTAATTCGAAAAGCAAAAGTACACTTGTCTGAAAATGTGCAAATATCAAATGTGTACTTGACACTTGTATACCTACAATTTCAGAATACAGTTTTCTTCATTTTTATAGCTAAACATTTAAAGTACCTAAGTTTAGAAGTGCAGTATAGTGGACAACACATTTACAGGTAGTTTTACTCATCTTATTATAACCAAACTTCAAAAATATACATAATATTTTTAAGTTATAAAATCATGAAACTTTTCGTTCATTATTTGATTCATATAAATATTTACTACCTATTTATAAATCAATTTTAATAAAATATTCTGTTCATATTGATAGAAACTAAAACTATAGATTATCGTTAAGAAATCAAGGTAATTTAGGTACATTTTAGAATATTTCTCAACGTGCTTTGGTTTTCAAAAAGGTAATATCATAATATAGTTAAAGACTACGATATAATATATACAAAATACATAGATACATACAAAACTATATCATATGATGATAATTATAATTTTAATTGGTAGTTATTATACAATTAGTTAATTATAGTAGGCACATAAATAATAAAATGAACATCAAAAATTGAAAATCAAAAAAAAATTTAAAAAAACGAGCTTAACAGTTAAGTTTAAACGTTTACATTCATTAATATAAAAATAAGTATTTACTTATACTATTTTCGTTCGTAATATTAACGTGTATGCCACAATTATAAATTTATAACATTACACCGCAATACAGAAGTCACGATGATTCGAATCTCAAGGGGAATAGAAATAAATTCGTCTCGTGTATCATTCAAGTTATATTATAAAATATCTCATGCTCACGAATTAATAACACTTCAAGGGCCAAGAAAAATCTTTGTGTTATCTAGGTTTTCGAGTTATCGAGACTAGACTGTATCGTAGTTTTACACTACAGACACCCGTTGCCCCAGCACCCACACCATGGCACTTTTTCCGTATTTTCGCGACCCGTGATGCTCAGCTTTCGGCGGCAAATCGTGCTCGTGTCGCTGTCCGCGTCCTCGCCACCGTCCACCCTGGACACGGACCCGCCACGGTGCTTGATTATGGTTTCCCGTCGGAAACCCATCAGAGACGTCCTCCGCCGGCCCCTGAGCGGCGATTCGGAGGGGCCCGAAGCAGCCGTCGGTGGACCTGCACCCTCCCTATCATTTGCGGGCGCCGGTTTCGATCTCTTCGGCGACCCTGCCGACTTGGAGTTGGTCGTCCCGACCACCACCGCCGCCGCAGTCTTGGGTTCTGCTGCCACGGGTTGACCGGCAATGGCTACAGTTTTTGGATCCGAAGTCGGGAATCTATGAAAAAAATTATTAGTTAAAATATTATTTACACGTAGCGTACCAATGAAATGGTGAAACCACCAAACATGTTCACCCCCTTCAACAAGGAATTTATACAATTTCTGGTTTGAGGATCTTAAGTTTACTTTTGTATAATATTTTCATTTTCATTTTCATTTTCATTTTCATGAAAATTTTTCATCAATATTTTTATTTGGCCTTTTTTTATATCGTCCAATGAATGTTCAAACTTATTTTTTTTAAGTGAAAATCAAAGTCTTTTTTACTATAAATTACCTATATGAAGTCAAATACATGAAAAATTATATTGGTATATATGTATACTCGAAATATAATATATTATAACAGATTGCGTTATAGTAAGATCGTTATTTCGATCACATTTCAAATAATTAATTATACTGTTTGTAATTTAAACAACTTAAATTCTTCAATCTGGAGTTTAGGGTTTTTTTTAATATATGGTCACAAGCGAAAAAAATTTCTTAGTTACATTTTTTAGTATAAATTATTAAATAACAAAATAGGTATCTAACTAATAATACTAATATACAAAATAATGACTACTATTCTTAAGAAAATATTTAATAATTACTCCTTACTTTTTCCTGCAAACATACTTATACTTGTATGAATGTATGATATTATGTCTGTTTTTAATTCTACTTATTTGGATTTATTTTCTTGTAATATTAATGACTCTAAGTTTAATTGCAATGTATTATTTCCACAAATACTATTATTTAATATGCATATTATAAATATAGCTTAGTTTAATTGTGTATAATATTTTTGTGTTATGTACTTAATCAACCTGTGGGTCCAATTGTTAATATTATGTTATTAATAAAATTAATTTTTTATTACATAAAATAAATAAATAAATACTGTGGTGATAGGATGTGATGGAAAATTAAAAATATTATCAAAGTGGACGAAATTCGAGAACTTCATACATTATATATTGTGTATAATTATATACGAAATAAGGTTATTATTTCAAAGGTAAACACTATTTTTTTCAAAAAGTATTAAAGGTTTTGGGAACATTTTTATACAGTATTAGTACTTTTAATTGAGTGTACCAAAACAACATTTTTGAGCAGCTGAGTATATAAAAATTGAATTGCTGTTTAAACGGAACCTTAAGACAAATTGATGATACATGTGTACCTATCGCTCATTATAAAATTAAATATTTTTCTTCTACATTTTCAGCGAAACGACGTAAATGTCGAAATTTATCGTATCTTCTAGTAATTATATTATAAGTATAGATATACCAAAACAAACATATGTGGAAGCACTGACTCAAACATAATTGAGGCTTCTTAAGGTTAGAGTTACAGATAAATCGTATTTGGTATGTATGCAATAGTTTGGATGGTGTATAGAATTACCATCAGTATTTCAGTGCAGTAGTGTTTATTGAATTTCACAAGTGCGAGAGAAAACAGGAAGGCATCCGAATGGACTTATTGTCTGTAGATTTTAAATTTAATTAATAAGACCGAGTAGAAATTGTAATTTAATAACATTGTAGTTATCGTTTCTACGGCGTTAGATGTTGCAGTAATGATTAATATACTAATATATATATGAAATTTAATTAAACCTCAAATAATTATTATCGATTTATGAGAAGAAATAGTTTTTTGGTTAGACTTTCTAAAAATATAACTTCCATTGTATTATAGTATAATATTTATTTTTATAAAATATTACTTATTTAGTTATTGGTATAATAATATATTTAAAAAACCATTGTCGTACCTATAAAATTAATTTATTCTTCGATGATTCGAAGAGGAACAAGTTATCAAGAATAAATATTTAATAGGTATTTACATATAATATAATGTATATTGTACATGTATTCTATTAAATGAGTTATAATTTTTATTTATAGCTTCTTAAACTTTGCAAGTATAAATAAGAGATATTAAGTAGCAAGGGGTAGGTACCTCGTTAAAGATATGGTCCATTAATAATCTTAATTGGCTCTTATCTATCTATATGATTATACTTTAAAGGTCTTAAGAGAATAATTCATAATATATCTATTATGGCTTATTGGATATGTATACACGAATCAACATTTTTGAAAAATATTTTGTTACAGACTATGAATTTTAAAAATACAGGTTGCCATTTTAAACCAAAAATCTATAATGGTTCTACTTACAGACTGGGTGAAAACATAAAAGCGGGAGTGATACTGCACACTGTAAAATTGTAGACATCCAAACTCCTCATTTATAGTCATCCTTTATTAATCCTTCCCCACTCATTTCATAATATTATAATTAATTGTGTGCGAATGAAAACTGTTTTTTAATAGTTCAATAATAAAAAAGACTTGGGATTGGGTCTATTTAAAATGTTATAGTAGTATAATCTGTATACTATTATGTAACATTTTAAATTGTTCAATAAAAATAAATTATAGTTTTCAAAATAGTTACGTTAGCTGTTAAAAAATAATCACCATATTGAGGTGCACAATAATATATTTTAATATTATGATATTTTATGACGGATATAATAATATTATGCAAGTACTTGAATCCATTTTGAACGGATACCGCGGTCATCGCGGTTGCAGTGCAGGACCCGACGCCGCCGCCGCCGCCGCCGCCGCCACTTCCGCAGCAGGCCTCATCGCCACCGCCTCCACTGTCCGCTCTTCCACCGTTTTCGCCGTGGTCGCCGGACGACGTCGGTGCGTCGGCCATTTTCAAGTTCAACTTGATCTGAGATCTGAACGACTTTCGCCGGGCGATGCTGTTCATCGTGCCCGTCTCGTGCTCGGTCAGCTGCCTGACGATGACTTTGTCCGACCCGAACCACAGGTACCTGGGCGCACCGAGTGTCGGCCGGACGCGCACGTAACGCTCGCCGCCGGCCGTCCCACACCGGGCAGTCTTCCTCTCCACTCCGCCTGCAGTGTGAATAATACAATAATATAGGTACGTACCGCACTTAAGCCAAAGAGCTATTTATGTAACGCCGAAAAAAGCGTTACGATAATAATATTATTACATGTTTATACATGGGTGTACACTGTACAGTGGACTGCTTATATTTACAGGATGATTCACCGAACATCCGCTCCCCCGCCCACTTTTTCCTCTTTAATAATGCGATAAATTGAAATTCAGAATTTTCGGAATTTTCAAGTATACTTAAAGACCATGTTTTCGTATTTTCGAGATTTGTGTAGAAAAGTGGGTTTATTTAACATTAACAAATGTAGTTTGTTGAAACGGCTAAAGATTTTTCCCTGGTGTACTCTATAACGCTTAATATGAGTGTCCCGCGATGAGACAAATTTCTGTTTTTCAGACGAGAACCCCCCCGACCCTCTTTTTTTATTTTTTTGTAAACTGGATCATATTTTTTTAAATAATTTGTAGGGTTCCTATACCAATCTAATTAAAAATTCGAAAGAGTAGTTTTTCAGCTATTAAATTTTGGTACACTAAAAAGTATAAAAGTTGGTAAAAAAATAGTTTAAAAAAAAATATAAAGTAGATGTAATATACGATACTGGATCTAGTGTTTTTTTATACTTGCACAATTTTTACAAATTATAAATGTTGATAAATTAATATTAAATACTGACATTTAAAAATTACCATAGTATCCACCATATAATTAAGGGTCTGTTATAAATAACTGGAAAAATAATTTTGATTTTGATACGTCAATATTTCCAGAAAAATTATCTGATAAAGAATTTACAGTATATATAAGAGAGGTCGTAATTTGAAAAACAGAACTTTATAATTTGTAGATTTTGAATAACTGCATAATTGAAGAAAATAGAAAGGCTCACCTCCCTTTTTTTGGGTCACTTAAAAAATTTGATGGTCTACATACGGCTTTAAGACAGCCCACTTAGTTAAGGATGATTGGTCTTGACTGTCCGTCACTCACGTTATCCCTTCAAAACGGCTTTCAAATAATGAAGGAAACATAAAATTCATGATGGATATAATTTTTAGATATATTAGTATATTATTTTGTCGTAATATTGTAAGTTATAACACGAGAAAATAACAGTTTATATTTTGTAGATACACAGAACTTAGCTCAATGAGTTATTTCCACCTCCGTCCTCTATACTCGGCCGACTATATATATATATATATATATATATATACACACACATGTCCCTGTTATTTCAATCATCGATAACTTAAATAATAATGTATACGAAACGAAACTGTCGGATGATATTTGACACAAAATAGTTTTCGTGCGTTAACAAACTTATAAATAGACGTAGGTTTATCATAGATACGAATTATAACAGAATGCCGGAAAGGGATAGATGTAGGCTAAACGCACACATATATACAACGAAATGTCGAAATCAGACGAAGGAATTATAAATAATTGCGTTAAACATATACCATATTTAATTATGTTATGTCCATTTTATGCGGAAGTTCGTCGAAATAACTTTTTTATCTCCTACTTGTTTGTTATTGTAACACGTAAATAATAAAACACATTGTAAATCACACGAGTACTATATATAATCATTGTAAATCATACGAGTACTATATATAATACTGGTTAAAACTTATAAGCACAACTCGAAAAATCACTTGAATAATATAATTATTGTAGCTAAAATTCAGTCCAATTCCATGGTGTTGTTTTATTATATTTTCTAAATGACATTCATAAACAACGTAATTTTCGTTAAATGTACAATTAATATATGAAAATTGAAAATGTATTGGTCATATTATAGAGAGTATTGGGCGTCCTAACTTTTTATCTGTTGATGGGAGTTTAGCAATTGACATTTAAGAAATCAACTATATGCTGCTATAAGAAGCCACCTAACCCATGCATTGATTTGGGGTTGGTGGAGAAGTTAAAGTCTATAATATTGCGATATGTATATTATATCAATATTGTCATCCATACATTCGCAGAAACTTAACCTCTATAAATTGTATTAGTTGTTACTTATTACATATTGGCGAAATGAAATGAAATTTCAACAGATGCAACACTTTATTAGTCCAGTAATCATAAAAATCAATCAAATCATATGCCTCACGCGTCTTTTTATATTTAATTACATATTATACAAACATCAATATCTGTATAAAGTATGTTGTTTTATTACAATTTAGACTATTTTCTTTTCTCTATTATGATAATGACGTGGCTATAATATTTATAACTGTGGTAAACAAAATTATTAAATTAAGTTATATTTTATTATTCATACAGTTAAAAAACTGTACAAAACAATGAAATAGTATCATAATTAAATAAGATCAAAGTTGAGCTCCTGTAGGTCCCAAAGCACTACACCTGTTGCATACCACCAGGGGATTTGAAAAAGTGCACCCCTTGTAATTACTACACTGAACTGCTGAAGGTATACCGGCCGGCAAATATAATCCATATAGAGTATAGACAATACATATAGATATATGGCCTTTAATACTATATATATATGTATATCTTTTTTCGTCAATCGTACATCGCAGTTCTGCTTATCAAAATATATGTTATGGCTTTATTATTATTATTCTCTTATTCGCTCAATCACTCTTTACCGATGATCGTGCCGTATTTCTTGAGACATTTCAGTACGTCCTTGTCGGCCACGGTGTCCGGTACACCCGTCAGCGACAGGATTACGGCACCCGCACCCGTGTCCATCAACAGCACAGGCACGTCACGGATCCTGAAAGCCGAGTGCAGCGCCCGTTCTAAGCACTCGGCGTTGGCGAACGTCATGTAACATCTGTCGTCCGTCAAGCAAACCGTTCGCAACTTGTCCCTGAGCTCGGCGTCCTGTATGGCGTCGATCACTTCGTCCACCTGTGCATATTGTACCATACAATATTATATACATTATACATAAAATAAGATGATTTAATATATATCTGGAAAGAAGCAATTACCACCCCATCCCTCGTGCATAACATTATATCTATACATATTTGAAATTAACTTCAAATTTCGCTAACCCCGGGGAACACTTTTCTCTGGTCCACGAATAACTTATTTTTTTGTGTTGGTTCGTGCTATTTTATCTCTTAAGTTGGTAAGTAAGCAACAAATATGGTACGATAATAATCAGTAATGCACTATAAATGAGGGGTGTAAACTGGAAATCTAAAACGTACAATTGCCAAAATACTGAATTTTCAGAAGAAGCAATTTGTGTATATTAACACTGAGAATAGAAACAAACCATTTAAAAATATTCAAATCGTTTTGAAGAAAACGATTAATATGAGTTCAATGTTCTAGGATTATATTTTTAATTTAATTTAAAACATAATTAAAATTTCTAAAATTAAATTATAGTACGTTTTGGATTAACTATTTTACTTTGCTATACCTACAACACGGGTAAATGGGTAATAGTACGTATTAGCATAACATAAAAGAAATACGTTTTGAAATAATTTACTGAAATTTGTTTTAGTTAATGATTGATGCATATTCTTTTAGCATGGGTATTGGGTACGTTTTGGCTTAAAACTGGAAAAAGTACTTTTTTATTATCTAAATATCATTTTTATACATGGAAAAAGTTCGTTTGGATTAAACCGTCATTTTTAACAGTAGATTTGGATAGGAAATTGTGCGTTTTAATTATTCTGACGACGTCAATCGATTTATCGATGTTTCTTTCATGAGAATCGATGTACAACTCGATTTTGTCAATTTTCGCAATTGTACGTTTTGGATATCCACCCTTCAAATATAGTTTTCACTCTATACTATAATTAAAAGACTACTCAAAACAAAACAGAAGTTGTCATAACTACATAATATTATTTTTTATTCGTTGATAGTTTGGAGAGAGAGTTTAATTATATAAAAATAAAGTGCCTATTTTTTTTTTTTTTTTTTGGCCATCAGGTGATATACGCAAGACTTGATTTACGATAATCTACTGCAATATAGTGCATAGATATAAGTTATAACCAAGGTTCAGGTTGGTTATTAAGTCAACGATATCAGGTATTTTGATGTTTGGTCTAATGAGACTTGGTTTGAACCGACCTTAAAAGTTGCAGTATGAAAAATAGTGAAAAATATTCACATGGAAAAACAGCGTTTTCATCGCTCTGTAAATGGCGTAAAAATGTAAAACGCTTTTCCAAAACAGACATTGCTTAAAAAATTGTATTTAAGAACAGGAAAAAACCTACAATTTAATTAAATTTTTATTATACTATAATTATTAACAGCTGTATTGAAAGCTGCTAATATAAATTACCTAATTAAATATTTATAATAATTACAAAAAAATTAACAAATAGTTTCGGTCAGAAATTAAATTTCAAACACGAGTAAAACAGTTAAACTAATACTATTTTACCAAGGCATGTATGGAATGCAGTCGCGTGCAGTCTTCTTAAATTTATATAAGCATAGACGCGTGCAATTATCATTTATATGGACGGCGATCGGTGCAGGCATTTGTTTACATTTCCGCGTTTGCGTCTGTAGCTTCTATAAATATTGACTGTAAGTTTGATCGTGTGTTTGTTTTTATGTTTGTTTTAATATTTTATGTCGCACACTGCAGGTAAAACCGTGGAATAAAACGAGTGCTGTTTTAAATAAATATACAACTAATATAGGTACTACGTGGGCTGTAGAGGTCTATACATTATTATAATAATAATGTGTTCACAACACTCGAGAATCGACCTTAAACAATAATCGCCAACATTTTTTTATCGGGTTCGTTGGGGGTTTTTTTTTAGTTTTTAATTTCCCACTTTTAGTATTGTTAGAGCTGAATATGACTCCTTGGAGGGCCGTGTTCTGTTTGCGTGCAAGGGGTAGTTTTTTGATCTAAATAAACATACTTTAACCTCACCACCTTTGTCACACGTTAACATTTATGTATAAGTACACTATACATACAATACTAGCTGACCCAGACACCCAGTGCACCTCATTTCCAGTAAAAAATGCTAACTCTTACACTATTCAAACTTTATTCAATTTGTGATTTAATATTTGGTGTAATGATGTTTAAAAATAAAAAATAAAACAAAAGGAAAAAAATCAGCGAGTAGTAACTTATTTGCTTACGGGTAACTTATTATCAGCAGAAATAAACAAATATGTGGTTATAATTTTAATCCAAAAAAATATAGTGACTAAACATCAAATACAGGTTAACATTGTATCCAATCATAATATGTAAAAATTATATTTGATATAAGATATAACTAATGGCAACCATTTAAAAAAAAAAATACTAATTTTTAATAATTTCTATTATTACTATTATAATCTGTATCAAATGGCAACCATATATTAACAAGTTTAGGGTCAAGTTTTTTAGCTTATATGTTGATTAGTCTTCTAACGTGTCCTGATTGCCTGACTATCAGGACATGTTAGATTATAAATTATACATTTGTTCTGTTATTTATAAAAAAAATTTTTTATTTTTTTTACATTAATATTATACGCAACATTTGAGAGTTTTAAATATTTATTCTTCATAATAAGTCAAATAAGTAATATATTAGTATTTCCTACATATTATTATTATGTCTGTCAAAAAAAAAAATTGTTAAATTGTATTTTTAAGATTTTTAGTTTACTGTAAGAACTACTTTTGAAAAACCTTGAAATAAATTTCCAAGTCTTAGCTATAAATGAACAATAATTTAAACACCAGTAAATTGTATAAATATGATATGTAGGTATGCTTTTTGGATTTTATATAATATATATATATATACTTAATTATTATTAATCATTTCAATATGGCTACATTTATGTACATCTATATATTATATTATGTTTCATAACAGTTCCAATAGACGGCGTTATTAAAAAGTGTAATTATTGTTAAAAATCTTCTTTTTTTTTTGAGAATAATTGATATTAGACTACCTATATTTAATCAATCTACCCGACGCAGGTGTTTCAAATATTCAATTTTAATCGTTTGGTGTACAGTTATTTTCTTTTGTTATAAGCTATAACATTAACCGTGGTTTGGATTTTAATGTTAAATTGTAAGGTTGTTTACAAAAAGAAAAATCAATTTTGAATTAAAAAATTAATTTTATTAAATATAATATAATAAATATATATTATATTATATTTACGTAATACGAAGAACGTGGATAAAAACTATGAAGTATAAAATCAACGTGCAAATTGAGGATTCATGATATAACTTAGTATCATTAACCTGTAAATTATTTTTATTTAAAATTGATATAGATAAAATACATAATAAGTAATGAGTAATAACTCGTATCTTGTAGATGATATTTTTAGATATTATAGATATTTATGTATGCATGGTAGTAATTAATAATTTGTTTTTTCAACAATAACACTATGTAAGTATGTGAGACAATAATAGGTTCATACAAATATACAATATACATTATTTTTCTAAGTATAAAATATAAATGTATTATAGTCATACCTATAAAAAGGTATGTTATGGTGTGTTTTTTGTATAGATTCTTCTGACACAGGAGAAAAACAATTAATATCAATCATAATATTTAAATAAAATAACATATTTTTATTGTTTTTGTACGTATTGTTTGGACAATATTTATGATTTGATTTGAATTAGGTATTATATTTTCATATAGATACCTACCGATATTGATTTTAATATTATGTCGACTTGTAAACTTATTGGTAAAACCAAACGTTATTTTCGCCGCATTTGGTTTGGCAATGAATATAAACATTTAAAGTACCTAATAATTATAAGCTTGGTAAGATTGCTGTAGATAAGAATATAATATTTATGGAAACACTAAATAGTTAATTATAATCTGTTAATTAACTATGCTTATAACGAAATACGAGTTATCCACAGCTAAATTTTTAATTGACATAAAACAAATATTTTTACAAACTACAGTTGTTAACGAAGTTATTTATTATTAAATAAAAATAAATAATTTTTTTAAGGTATAATGTTTACTTTTCTGTGTTAACTACAACAGATATTTAATACAATTATTACTTTTATAGTTTTACTCGTATCATGACTGTATTAAGTATTTATTAATTTATTTTAATTGTAATAATAATTATGATTTATGAATTATATAAAATATTGTTATAATTGGTAGGTATTATGAAATTAATAATCCTTCAAATGTATAAGCTTATAATACAATTTTATCAACAATAAATGCCTGATAATATTATTTCAATTATTTTGTCATAACTTACATTATAATAAAATTTAAAAAAACTTAAGTTATCATTTTTAAACCCAACTCTCATAATATAGTATTTCTTTAACTTTAACTTTTAGCTTTTGAGCAAGTGAGGACAGCCGATGATAAGTTTTAGTGTTTTAAAATGATACTGTGTTTTTTTCTTTCAGTAAACACTTTTCTAGAAAGAATCAAAACTTTGAAAAGTTTCTTGCAACACCATTACAGATTGAGAATTGAACCCAGATTGTGCTTCATACAATATGTGCTATTATATGATGGTAACTTTTCAAATTTGTTCTTGAGAAAATCGATGCTGACATGATGAAAGGAAGAAACCGTGTCTAAAAAAATATTGACCATAATATTTATCCAGTAAATCGAGATTTGGTTGCAGAGTTCGTTTTTTTGCTTGGAAGTACCTCATGAATTATCAACGTTTTCAAATTTAAAAACAATCGTATATAGGTACTCGAGATGAGTTATATATAAATTATAGTGGTGGAAAAACCTCATACTCTCATAATATTATCTTACCTTTTTTTTAGGTTAGACACCAGATTGTCAAAAGTGCAGTAGTTTTAGTATCTAAAATGAAACTGAAATTATTGATTTCTTGAAGAACATAATAAAATATTA